TCTGAGTGGAATGTGATTTATACTTTTTGCCCATGTTTGTTTGATCAAAATGTATTTGCTGACTGTCCTCTTAATGTCTCACTAATTGACTTCTCACTTGTTTCTGTGAAGGATTTGATGTGGCTTATGGTAACTACATTCAGTAAAGCATAAGATACGTCATGTGTGCTTTAACACTTTTCAGTGTATCATTTCCTTTTAGGAAATCATATCTTTTGCACTGCTTTGGGCAGCATAAAAATGAGTAGAATTGAAGAAAGATTGATGGTTTTTAGAAGACCTGCTGGTTACGATAATCTTAGATCAGTTTTTAAATTTCCCACCTGATCCTTCTGACCTCAGATGATGTGGCAATGAGGTCTTATTTTAATATAGGCAAAGTTTGTTATGACTAAAATTCTTTGTTTCAGATTTTTACATAGCAGAGAATTCTTGCATTTTCTTTTTTAAATTTATTTTATTTTATTTTATTTTTTTATTGTGAAAATACTGAACAGAGGTGTTGCAATTACATGGGCAAGCTAATGAGTACATTTCTTATTAAGCATTGTAGCCTCCTCCTTTGTTTCCCCTTCCCATCCTCCCCCTGCTCCCCCACCCAATCCCCCACCCACCAAAGTTGTAAAGTTCATTTTCAACATAACAACTTGTACATCTCATTGTTGCAATGGGTCCACCTGTATCCCTATTTAAACGATTTGTTTTTCCCCTTCCCCTCCACAAATTATACTGACATCAAATACAGTGAAAGCAGGGGTTATACCGTGGGGGAGGGACATACAAAGCAACAAAGAAATAATCTTATAAATGTGTTAGAAACAATCGCCTGAAAGAAAAAAAACATTTGAATACATATCTTAGGGTTCATTTTCCTAACATCAACTTATCTGACCTTTTCTGATTGACTCAGACATATACTAGTTATTGCAAATAAGGGAAACCATGGGACCTATGTTTCTTTGGGCCTGGCTTACTTCACTTAATATAAAAATTTTTTCTATTTACTATAGCTAAGATATGGGAGCAACCCAGATGCCCCTCAGTAGATGAATGGATCAAGAAAATGTGGTATATATACACAATGGAATTCTATGCCTCCATCAGAAAGAATGACATTGCCCCATTTGTTAGGAAATGGAAAGGCTTGGAATTCTTGCATTTTCCTGGAGTTGTTTTATTCCCCTTGTGTGATTTCATGGGAAACATGATCGTCACAGATACTTAAAAAAAATTTTTTTTTTGGTGATGCACATTTTATCTCTGGCAAACACTATGTCTAGTTTATGAACAATTACCTTGGGGATTTTTTTTTATCCAAAATTATCTTAATTATAAATTTGATATTAACATAAAAGCCAAAGAATTATGTGGATCTCTTGTCTCACTTAAGCCATGGGGAGCTATGGAGTCATAATTCTTAACACAAAATATCATAAATTGTTTTTGCAGCTTCACTGAACACATGAAACATAATGTCATTTTTTATTGGTTGTAAACACATGCCCATATCTAATCATTTCTCTCTCACTCCTGTTCTTCTGTTTTTTTTTTCTTGATAGCTTATTGCTGTCATGTTATTGTTGAATTTGTTTACCATGTTTTATTTTTATCTTTTTTAACCATAAATCTGATTGCTCTATTTTTTTGTATATTCCAGATGAGTAAGGTTTCTGTTGTTTTGTTGTTTTGTTTCGTTTTACTGTTGTAACAATTGCTTCATGATTATGAGTTTGCAAACTGGAAAGAGGAGACTTGCAGGATACTGTATTATTTATATGAACATGTCAAAAACCAAAGTTGTTTTATTTTAAAAAAACACAAAATAAAACTCACAGTCACACATCTTTAAGAAGTTTATGGGTTTTATATGTATGTTTCTGGTGACAAAACAATAGCCCAGACTACCCCGCTGTGCTTTTGTTTTCAAGTAACAAAAGCTAGGTGCTACACTGGGCTCCAACTAGGTCCTGTCCCATTTTCTTCCTGCAAGATATTAAAAGTTGAAAGGAAAGCAAGAATATGCAAATTCAAGCACAAGAGCTGTCAGACATTTGCCTCCTACACATGCACAGCCAGCCACATCTTACATGTAATGATTTATCTGTGAAGTACGGAAAGAAGCGGAGGCACATAAAGTATTAAGTAACAGTGCACGAGTAGGACACCAAGAGTGCAGAATATGTTTGGTCAGGAAAATCCAGATTGCGTTTTTTCTTTAGGCTCTCATCCTCTATCTGCCTAGACTCAGCCTGACTCCTCTTGTCAGTTTTTAAGACTTAGCTGGTTTCCTTTCAGAATAGAATTATAGAAGTGGAAGGTGAACAAATTACTGTTCATTATGACTTTAAATTGTAGTACAAGATGAACCTGCTATCTTTTGGGCGGAAGGACAAGATGGATAGTTGATTCTGTTGTTTAGCAGCTTTGCAAGTGAATACGTTGGGAATCCCACAACATGTGGTCCAAGCTCCTTTTCATTGTTTCAGTTTGGAGGCAGAGTCATTGGGGATTTTTTTCCCCCTACCTGGCTCCAAGCTGGAGCCAGTTGGAGGCTCCAGCTTGATTGTTGCCCCAGGCTATAGCAGTGAGAGACCACTCTAGTGGCTTCTGTGGAGTAGGGCTGAGGGAGGCAGGCAGTTGAGGGGAATGGCAGCTATGAACATGGCTGCTGTAGAGCAGCCTCATTTCAATTCTTGCAGTTATTGTCTTCTCACCAGTTCTGTGAATGTCAGAATCTTCCCACTGTATCACTTTTCTATTATTTGCAATCAAAACCTGTACAAGAGAAAAAAAGACAATATGCCTTTCTGAAAAGTACTTGGGATGTTCAAATCTCCTGTCTTTGTATAGTTTGAGAACTCCTTTGAATTTTTCGGAGTAGGGGAGGAGGTGGTATAGTATGAGTAAGGGAAATTGCTGATATCAGTATTCATTTCAGTAATACTATGGGGGCTGTGAAGATGATTCAGTGGTAGAGTGCTTGCCTTGCATGCATGAGGCCCTGGGTTCGATTCCTCAGCACCACATAAGCAGAAAAGGCCAGAAGTGGCACTGTGGATCAAGTGGTAGAGTGCTAGCCTTGAGCTGAAGAGCTGAGGGACAGCGCCCAGGCCCAGAATTCAGGCCCCATGACCGGCCAAAACAAAAAAAGCTAGATCCATGGATGCCTTCAATACTAATCTTCTAGAGGTTCCTGTACCATCCATTAGGTATTTGTGATTTTAGGAGCCTCAGGGAATATAAATAAAACAAGTAGCCCAAACCATTTAAATATAACTTAAGTTCTCTTGTTAGTCTTAATCTTGGGGAAGAAGGGCAGATTGTTTTTGCTAGAATTTATTTTTTATAAGTAGTTTGTGGCTGATGAAAGAAATAAGTTTATATTGCATAGATGATCTTCTCAAGTAGATTTGTCTTCTGTCTGTGTATTCAGCTTTTGCTTGTGACGTTTGGCAGTAGACAGAAAGTGCCTCTTTAATAAAGCACACCTTTAAATAACTCTCTCAGATTAATTCCAGCTTTTAAAGTGAGAAGATGTCTTGAACTACCACTGCTGCCAGCTCAGCTGTGGATCTGAAATATCCAGCTGTGCCCTTTCTGCCGCTCTCATCACCAATAACAGACTTTGCAATCAGAATCTGTCTGGCACGTGTGTTGATGTGTGAGGTGAGATAACATCTAACTCACTGTATTGGCTCTTCATGAGACCGTAGTAAACATTTGTCTTTGTCAGCAGTTAAAGCAGTGTGGTTGGAGAATGCACAAGGATTACACACACATCTACCTGACATGCCTTTGTCTGGGTCTGCATAAAGACTCATTTCAAAGAGAAATGATTTAATGGTTAGGATAGATCAGTAGGTTTAAAAGTTTGGTTTTTTTTTAATGTTCTCTCATGAGAAGACAAAAAAATCCACCTATGTTTTCACACAGTATCATCTTATGATTTCAATTATTATTACCTCTTTTAATTATTAATACAATAAAGCAAAAGGATTGCCTATATGTTATTAACCACCATTGGGATTTGTTCTATTACTTAAGATCTGTGATCAAATGGATGATGAACCTAAACCCTGAATTATCTTTAATTACAAACTGCAAGAAAAATCCTGTTTGGTTTCACAAAAATCAGTGTTTTTTAGGAAAACACCATTCTAAGTCACAGATCTCATAAATAACCATGATCGTGATAATATTAATATTAATTGAGTAATTTGGTAACTATTTAGAATATACATCCTAATATATGACTCCCAGCTATCCTAAGGGATGATACTTATTTTCTAGATAATGGCTAGCAGTAAACTCTTAACTTGTGCTATAGCACTCCATTTGAGTTCTGTCTGGCTCTGCACTGAAAGTCATGTACTTCCTCACTGAAGAGCATTCCTACCACATTGTGCCTTGGATGCTGGGTCAGACACCCAGTTTCCAAAGTTGGATTGGAAGTTGTACTTGCAATCAAATGTTCCAAGTCCAGTAAAGGAGATGGACAGCCAACTGTACTTGACAGAACAATGAGTATTGTAACTACAGAATAGAAAAGGTGCTAAGGGAAATTGAAGAAGGTCATTTAAACCAGAGGGAGAGTCCTAGAGGTATTGGTAGAGGTAAACACTGAACTGAACTTTGAAGGAATCTGCTAGAGGAAGATGGTTGGATGTGTCAGCAGAGGGAGGATTTTTGGATGACATGAAGGGGGTCCCAGGGGGCCAAGAATATAGTGGGAAAATAACAATAAGAATTACTACTGTTAAGTTTTATGTGTTACATCCTGTGTTAAAGGCTTTGCAGACATTTCACAGAATCTCTAATAACAACCATTAGACACCAAAAATGACAACTAAGGCTGAATCTACTCACTTGCGTAGAGAATTTGGACATTATTTGGGCAATGGGATGGTTTTAAATCCTGGAAATGGATTTAAGTGCTGTTCTAGAAAGATGATAGCATTTTAGAGTTGAGTGAGACTGGAGCTAATTACACTGTAGTCGATATGGTTGTCCAGGGAACTGTGGTAATGTCCTGATCAGAAGCCTTAGGACTGAGGCAGGATGGGAAGTGGGGAGGGGATGTAGAGGCTGGGGTAAATGGATATACAGGATTGGTGACCAACAGAGTGTGAGAATGTGCTTCATCTTTATAGGGCCCAAAGATTGTTAAGTAAAGAAATGGAGTAGATTTCAATCATTAGGGACTAAAAGCAAAGTTAGCTCAATTTTTGATCCCCAGGTTTTGGCTATAAACCTCTTCATCTCCTGTTCTAAAAACACCAGTAAGAGAAAGACTATATTTTGTTGAATTCTTTCCTGGGGATTTTAGGGGAGACTTTAATCCATTTGAAGGTCTAAGCTACCTAGGGAGACTTGCTCTCTTTAAATGTTTTCATGTCCCGACTCTTTCCAAGTACATAATATACAGGAAAATGCCTTTTGTTTAATAAAAAAAAGTTAAAAGCATTTTCATATTTTGATGTTCTTCTTTCTGTTTAGAAATGCTGTTCAGATAATGACTCAAAAAGAGGTCTGATACAAAATGTATTATTTTTTTTTCTTTTTCTTTCAGCTAAATTTGTATTTCTTTGCTCTTTAGGGGGAAAAAAATAGTACATGATCTGAAACTGATGTAGGTGAAGTCCTGATTTGGAGATGTTTATAAAATGACAAAAGCTGGGTTCTGTTATAGACATGCATGCCTGGGGATTTTATTGCCACTTTTATTGGATAAATTTGTTATTATAAAATTGATATTTAAAATTACACTTCCCATCTGACCATTACTAGATACCAATTCCATTTTAAAGATCAGACAGGCACATTTGTTTTCCATTTAGCTTCCTCTTTTAATTTCTTCTTCTTTTTTTAATCTTGTTCTTGAGTAGATCTGAAATTCTGGATAGCTATGAGAATTAATTAGCTGGTACACACTCTAGCTTTTCAAACCTCACTTTGGGTTCATGTGAAATACCCATAAACAGACTCATGGATGCCTCTGCTGTGGGGGATGAGTGATGCAGACTAGGAGCTGAGCCCCAGGTCTGGCTCAGCTCAGCAGCACTCTCTTCCATTCAGAGTCTCAGATGTCTGCCCCGCTGCAAAGCCGGGAGGCCAATGTCTATAGCTGCTAGGCATGAAATCCCCTGCTTCTGTTTGTTTCTTTTGTTGCCACGAGTTAATAGGGACAGAGACAGGAGACAGCCCAGAACAAAGCAGAAATAATGGAGTATTTCACCCCAAAAGGGAATGTGGATTGAGAAATACAAAGGGTAAGGCAATGACAGACTTAGTGTCCTAAGGCAATGTGATGTATTGGCTAGAAGCTTCAGCCCTGGGACGATTCTGGGCCAAAGCCTTCATCTAGGAGCTCCTAGGAGCCCACATCACCAAAAGGTTTAGCCTATCTTCTGTTAAAAACAAAACCAGAAACAGTTTATTGTTTTTCGCTTTGGAAAGAGCTATGGGATTTTTGACTTTAAAAGGAGATTCTTCTTCCATCATGGGGACTAGTCTTCTGCTAGGCTGTGGCTAGCGATCAAGGACACACTTGATAGTACTCCATAGCTTTGCTTAATATTTCTGATTCTGTTGCTGTCATCTTGAACTTGTTTACACTCTTTTTTTGTCATTTGCAGGATCCATTAGTTAGATATCACCACATTTGAATTTTTTTTCATGCATGTAGAAAGACATTCCTTTCATGTGCATTCCTGTACAACCTAGTATATTGTATTTTTTCTCTGTATTCTCCCCAACACACCTTATTTATATAGTATTTGCTTTATTGAAGTAAAATTCACGTGCACATATTTTTTTTAAGTTGGAGAACTAGATGACTTTTCCAATAGAGATTTTAACTTACTGGTATAGAATCAGAACTCTCTAAGATCAGCATGGCTTCTCTTTATACATGTATTGGCCTTCCAGAGGATTAAAAAAAAAAATGAAGCAAACATCCTCTTCTCTCCTGTTCCCTAATTCAGCCTTGGGAATTTTAATGATACTTATTTTCCAAATCTTTTAGCTTGGGAGTGGGGAGGAAACTCCATAGACCCCTTTCCCTAGAAGGAAAGGAACATTTGTTGGAAAACTAACTGCAGGTAAAAAGCAATTCAAAGATTTGCATCTTTCCCTTCCTTTGCTAGACATCTTTCTCTTCAATTACACAGACAAACTTGCTTACTGGACTCTCTTCTTCCCAACAACAGAAACACCCCATTTTTGGGTGTGGACATATCCATTTTATGATGTGAACCAGGGGTCTGGAGCAAAACAATCCTGACACAGACCCAGCTACGCAACTTACTCACCATCCTGGTATATCAAACATATGACTCTCTGCAAGGAATGGCTCTGAAGACTCTTCTGCATGTCAAAACTCTAGAAGTTAGTGGTCCATAATTCCAGGAGCTCAGAAAGCATCTCTAGCACCAACCAGATCATCAGGGTTGAATCCCACTCTGTAGGAGCCATATCGTTACGTTTCTTGCTGTGTTGTTCTCAGGAAGAAGTGAACTGTTACACAAAAATCATTTAAATATCTGGTGCTCAGAAGTACAAGATGTCTTCAGATTTGTCTTCAACTAATGAGGACACCCACCCATCCTGAGATCTCTTCCACAGAGCTCAGGCAGCAATGATGACTTGTCCTGTAACACACTTGTTGTTTTAGTTGGGTTATATTGTCAAAACACAGATCCATTTTGACTATTATAGACTTGGAAAACACAAGTCAGATCATTTTACATAGTTAATATTTTATATTTTATTCATTGAACTTACTTAGTGTTAGAAAATGCTTCTAGATACTAGGGTATGACTTGGTGGTAGAATGCTTATCTAGCATGGCTGAAGTCTGGGTTCAATTCCCAGCACTGCCCCCTCTCCCATAAAAAATGAAGAATTCATCTTCATTGTTTTGTTTCGTTTTGTTTTTTGCTAGTATTGGTGCTTGAACTCAGGGCTTTGGCTCTGTCCCTTAACTTTTTCACTGAAGGCTGACACTCTGTAACTTATCCCAATTAACCACACACACACACACACACACACACACACACACACACACACAAACACACACACGCATGCACGCACGCATGGGCGCGCTCAGTGTGTGTACTAATTGGGGCCTCATGGAATTTCCTGCCTGAACTAACTTCAAACCATGATCCTTTAGATCTCAGCCTCCTGAGTAGTTAGGATTTCAGATGTGAGCCACCACTAGCTAAAAAGTTTTAAAAGTGGGGATCTTGCTTTTAGGTACCCACTCATATACATTTTATTAATCTAACAAGTATTTATTGCCCGACCCTTGCATAGAAAAAGATGTAGCTCTCTGTCACAGAGTCCCCTGAGTTTTTGTCTGGCAAGACCCATATTTAAATAAGGGAGAAGCAGTGTGGGGCTTGGGCCATGGCTGTGTAGACAGTGTGTCTGTAGCGAAGTCTTGAAGCTGACGGAAGAAACATTTTTCCAGGAACTACACAGAGCTTCAATCAAATTGAAATCGTACTCAGAATAAAATCTTGTATTCATGATGAGAAACAGAGCATCAATTGAAACAAATGCCATGTCCCAAAAGGCTGGGAATTTCACGACACAGGCTGGTAGGAAATACTGGCAGAGCCGGGGCTGGTGCCAGAATGGGAGGCTTTTGATTAAGTTTCTCAGCCAGAAATACGTAGTGGCAGGAAAACTAGTCCTATTGCCCCGTTTTGATGCTTGGGCACCCTCAGAGATTGTAAAATTAAGGTTTATGAACCAGTAATAGCACTAAGAGCAGATATAACCTGGGTCTGTGTTCAGATTTCTATTATCTGATAAATCTGTAGTTAGAAAATATATATATATGGTATGGCATAGTTTTATCCGCAGTGTTAAAAGTATGGGTATGGGACCAAGAAGTGGATGTAAAGATTCGTTCTCTGAGAGAATAGAGGAAGACTTCCCAGAGGAGGTGCCTGTTGCCTAGGCAGATGTTTGAATAGGGATTTGCCAATTCAAAGAAGAGAGGGCCTTTCATTCTGAGTGTGTGGGACCTTGGTGCTGAGGTTAAGTGCTTGGACTTTTGACGGACTAGTGAGCAATGTAGGTAGCTAGAGTCATCAAGGTGGAAATGTGGAAGGAAATGTGTTATATAGTTGTATGCTCAGTGCTATACGGTACTGACTTATTGAAAAGACATTTACTGAGGATCCACTGTGTTTAGTGTTCTGTCTAGCCTATGAAATGTTTCATACTGTCCCCAACAAAAATGGATAAATTTTATAAATGATCTTGTTATCTTGCTTCAAAGTTAAATACAAACCTTCATTTTTGCCTTTGCAAGTTTATCTTTTGTTGATTATGACTACCTCTGGTCACCTTCCTTCTTTATGCCAATATTCCTTATATTTATGCCTGTGCATTTTAGCTGGTTTATATTTTAGTTATGATTAGTGATTGGCTAACGTCTACTACCCAGCTATCACTGGTGATTCTAGGCTTTGCCCTCGCTCAAGACTTTGGTGCATCATTTTCTCACAGATGAAATTGGTAAAGGTTTGTGCATGCATTTTAAGAGAGAATGTCCCACGTCCTGACCAAATATAATAAATACCATGGGTTCTTTCAAAAAGGAGTAAGTCATAATTGACCCTGTGGGAAAAGACTCGTGAAATGAAGTAATGTAGGCAAGGGATACCATGACCTTGGTTGCCCCCCAGAGGGTGTAATTACAATTCAGACAGGCTCTGTTCTTTATTTCCTGCTGCAAGCTAGGGCCAAGGGGTGATGTGTGTAGCATCTTGGGTTGAACTAGGGTGGGAAGTTGCTTGTGGAGGCTGCTGTGCGCGGTGTGTGTGTGGGGTGGGAGGTGCTCAGACTGGACTATATACTGCCAGGCATTGCCCAAGAAGCTAACAAGCAGCCAAGATACCTTAGGAAAATGAGCATCATGATGAACAGTTATTTGCCTGTCTGGCGCCTTTCTTAGTAGCATAATGCATTGAATCCATGCCTCATAACATCCTCCTGAAGAAAGGAAGTGGCAGATAGTGTTAAACGTTACTGGTTAATCATGGGGAAACTGAAGCATGGATAGGTTTATGGGGTTTGAGTGGAGTCACACAATGCCTCAGTGTCTGGCCTGGGAATGAAGCCCGAGTTTGCCGCTCGCTGTCAGGACTGCCGACAGCATTGTGTCTCGTATTGTACAGCAGTGAAAAGGGCTTACTCTTCACAATGCCTGAACTGCTGTAGGCGACAAACACAATGAACTTTGGTACAGTATAGTCTAGAGGCCAAAACGTGTGATTTTAAGTAAATTGACTAGAAGAACCAATGCTTGATTAAAGGTTTAAAACAAACAAACAAACAAAAACAAAAATGAAACCTGCCTGCTGTGGGGGTGGGGAGAGCATATCCCTCAGTTGAAATGGAACACACAAGTTTTATCTGTTTGCCTGAAAAAATCTGACACTTTTCCTTTTAACCATGAATTTATTTATTTATTTCCAACATTCCATGATTGATTTCAAATATTCTACCTTGTAATAATCATTAATCACTAATAATCATGGTGATAATAATTAATAATCATTTCAATAACCTTACTCTGATAGCCAGGATTGTTTTTGGTTAAGTGTTTTGCAGATTTTTCAGATTTAGTATTTTTCCAGAACTATGGGACCTACAGAGCTAGGAATTCAGGAAAGTGATGGAGGTATAATGAGGGAATTGTCAGGTTGGAGGTCTCAGTATTCTATGGGATTGGAGTTAGAGGAGTAAAAATGCCATCAGTGGGAAGTACATGCAGAGAGAAGAGAGAAGTAGAATATGAAAGAATCCTTCATGTCCATCCCAGAGGACCACCTGTAGACAAGCAGGCTCAGGAAAATGATTTATATAACTAAAATGTAATTAACAGAGGCCCAGTCACCTGGCCAAAACAGTTACCCTTTAAGAAAACCATTTTCTCAAGATCATTATAAGGTTTATTAGAAGGGCCATATTTCCCAGGAGAGGGAACACATTTTACCAGCCCCAATCCAGGTAGCTGGAGGTTCTTGGGGCTGGAAGTGAGGTAGGTGGGTATGGGCAGAGAATGGGAGTGGCCAGCTGTAGGGCAGGAACTCTAGGGCAGAGAGGAGCTCAGATATGGAGGAGCTGAGGACCAAAGGTGCGTATAATGCTAACAGATTCTCATTCCTATTTTTTTAATGTCAGATGTATGTGGGTATTCTGAATAAAGTAGCTTGTGTTACAGAGATTGATGAGTTTCGATGCACAAAGTGTTTATACTTTGGATTTTAATGAGTCCATGGAGAGAAAATGGTGGAACTCCAGGCAAAAGTATGTTGACTGATATTGGTCTATGAGTAAATCAGACAAGGTGCTAGCAACCAATCACATGCAATTTCACTTTTGTACTTAGGCTTTATGATAGTTTCTGTTGGGCTAGTTCTTCTGCCATCCAAGAGATAGTCTGAGGAATGGTCTAGAGGAATTCTGGCACAGGAACTGAGGGAAGATGGTGGTCTCTGGAACAGAAATAGGGCGTCTCTCAACTTTCCTCAAGAAAAATCAAAGCAAAACAATAAGGAAAGCCATATGAGTAATGTTGTCTGTATTAGGAAAACGTGGAAGATCTGACCTATGCAAGAACAACTGCTAGCTGATGGCCATCTTCGTAAGAATACACATAGACCTTTCTCTAGAAAAGACTTCTTTATCCTGAGTCTGATACTTGGTTTTTGTGTTTTGTTTTTTTTCAAGGAAAATAGGTTGTGAAAAGTTAGACAATGTGAGCCATTCATAGGAATCCAGAATGTGAAGTGTTGGCATCTAGAAGGGTGTTTATAGTTGCGATCATTAATCTTGTAGGAGAAGGCATAATGGGACAAAGTAAGGCCAAAGAAGAGCTACTGAGATGAATGAATAGGACAAGTTCGTATATGGAGACAGACTGAAATAATTAGGACTCCTCAGGCTTGAAAAGACTGAGAAGGAAATGTGATTAGAGTTTCATAAATCCATGTAGAATATGGATCATAAAATACTGTTTACCAGAAGTCAGTAGAACCTCTTAAAAACTGAGGGAAATGAATTTAGGGGGAAAAAAGAAGCTCTAAACCTACCATCAAAGTAGATTTTCTACATTGAAGTAACTCTTTTGGGAACTAAGCTAACGCTGTCATTGACATGCAGTGGCAAAGCCAAAGGTTTCTCTTATTTTGATGTGATTTTTCTTAAAGTATTGGGATACCTAGAGAACATAGATCAAATATCTATTCACTTTTTTTTCCTTAGGTAGAACTTAAATATCATTCATTTTCACCTCCACAATTATGTCTTGAGGGTAGTTTCTGTACTCTCTTCTGCTAGGCCCTGAGGATAATCGGATGAGGATGGTCGGACATGTTTCCCACAGTGTGGGGATAGTTAAGAAACTGTAATTGCCTTCATGATGAATTCGCAACCGTGCTGGGAGAGCTTGACACTAATTGCTATGAAGTCTTGGGATCAGAACTGTATGCCCTGGGAAAGGGTGGTGGTTAGGACTTGGCTAGGCCATGAGTTGGAATAGGAAAGAACATGGATAAGTGCCTTGAATGAGATAGGTCAGCACTGTTCCAGAAGGAATGCGAGGGAGACAGTGGCATTGACTATAGCAGGTTATGGAGAACCTTGAAGGTTGGGCCCCAAAGTAGACAGAACTTAATGGAACAGATTAAGCAGATATAATCAGATTTTTTTTTCATATTTTATATGGAGAACACAAAGTACAAGAAGGAGTAAATCTACTGGAACCAGTGGGAGAATACTGATGGTTAGGTGACAGTAGCTTAGGCTGAAATTGGACAAGTTTAGAGCCATTTCAGATATAATATTATAGACCATGCTTGGTGACTAGACATGAGAAACAAGGGAGAGAATTACTCAAGGTTGACAGCTAATTAGGACTCAGATTTTATCTGACAGAAGAATCAACACAGGTTTTTCATAGGTCTCTCCCCTCATGATCCCCAGGTGACCCAGAAGTGAGTCTCTCCTTGTCCACTGCCTCTCCCTTTCTTCCATTCTCTCACGAATCATTCAGGGCCTGAATATTTGAAGTTCTACAAAACTGGTACATGGTTGGCCCCTAGTAAATAGATGTGGAATAGATAGAAAGATAAAGCCTTAATGAATGAGATCTTATCTCCCAAATCCACTGATCTTTATTGTTAAGCAGTAAATAAGTTTATTTGTAACCATATTATAGTTCGTAGCACCCTAAGGTCATTTGACCTGAAACAGAGTTTAGCAAAAGCAAACGAGGCGGAAACATGTAAGGTTCTAATGAGTTCAAATTTATGTACCTATTTTGGTGATTAAATTTAAAACTTTTTTATTTTGAGTTGACATCAAGAAGTTATAAGACATGGGGATGGGGGATAGCTCAGTGGTAGAATACTTGCCTCACATGCATAAGGGTATGGATTTAATATCCAGCACTGAAGAAGAATGTGTGTGTGTGTGTGTGTGTGTGTGTGTGTGTGTATGCATGCCAGTACTGGGGCTTGAACTCTTGCTTATCTTTTTTGCTCAAGCCTGGCACTCTATCCCTTGAGCCACATCTCCACTTCCTGCTTTTTGCTGGTTAATTGGAGATAAAGAAAATGGAAATACCTTGAGATGGCTTTGAACCAGAATCCTCAGATCTCAGTCTCCTGAGTAGCTAGGCTTACAGCTGTGAATGGGCAATTTTTATTTTTAAATTTTTAAGTAAAGCGGCTAATTTTCTATGGACTTATCACTCAACTTCACCAGTTATTAACCATTTCCTGTATTTGATTTAGTGTAATCCTTACCAAATACAAATGGAGATAAGAGAGTTCAAGTTTTTCTGAGCCAGTTAATTACAGATATCAAGACCCTTCACCTCTAAGTTCTTCAGTGTGTGTTTTCTCTGAACAATGATGTTTTTCCTTATATAACCACAGTGCAGTTATTTAATTCAGGAAATTTAACCTTATGCAACACCGTTACCTAATAGGCAGTCTATATTCAGTCCTTACTATTGTCCCAATAATGTCATTTTGCAGCACTTTTTTTCTTCCTGATTCAGGGTGTAATCTAAGATGTGTTGCATTTCATATTATGTCTTCTTAGTATTCTTACCCTGGAATGGCTCTTTTGTCCTTTCTTTGACTTTTAAGACACTGGTAAAAATACCAAAGAAAAAAAAATGATAGGAAACAGACAAGGTATCTTACAGGATGTTCTTTACATTGTCCTTTTCTGGGTTCCTTATGGTTTGCTGAGCTGGTACATTTTGGTGGGAATAATGTATGATGACATCATGTCCTGTCACGGCAGGAAAAGAGGCTGTGGCTAGACACATCTCATGACTGCCGGTGGTGACATTCATCACTTGGTAAAGATGATTAGGTTTCTCTCCTTTCAAGTCATGATTTTCCTCCTTATAATTAGTAGATTATGTAGTTACTAATAGGTTGTTATTTTTAATGTTGCTAACAATCTTACTTTAAAGAACCTCACTTTCTTCTCTCTTGACAGTGTTTTAGAGCACTTTGCTGCAAGGGACCACCACCTGCACGACCAGAATATGACCTGGTTTGCATAGGCCTCACGGGTTCTGGAAAGACCAGTCTGTTGTCAAAGCTCTGCAGTGAAAGTCCCGAGAATGTCATGTCAACCACAGGTAGGTGCCATTCCAAGAGTCTGTCCCTTCTTCCTTCTTAGCCCTTCGCTTCTCTTTTTACTGTGCTATATATGTGACCCCTCCCCTTCTTACTATTTATAATGCTGTACTTTGGTCTGTATATTTCTGTCAATTTTAAACATTCTATCTCATGTTCCAAAGAAGGGGACCTAATTAAGCATTAAATTACTGCATCTACTGTCCCTCTCATTAGTCATTTCAGTAGCATAGAGTATATAAAACTCAGGTAAATTAATTATAAAACCTGAAGTCTGGAACTCTGCCTGTGATTCATTGGTTTTATTTTGAGTTGTTTTTCCTTTTAAGTGTCACTCAACCCTCTTTTTTTGGTTATGAACTCCCTATGCAACAGTTAGCACAGGGGCCACTGATTAGTCTTATGCTATTTTTTTAACTTAAAAGTCATAACCAGGCAATGGTAGTTCATACCTGTAATCCAGGCTACTAGGGAAGCTGAGATCTGAGGATCCTAGTTCAAAGCTAGCCAGAGCAATAAAATCTGTGAGATTCTTATCTCCAGTTAACCAGCAGAAAGCTGGAAATAGAAGTATTGCTCAAGTTGGAATGTACCAGCCATGGTGCAAAGAGAGTAAAAAGCTCAAAGAAAGGATTGGACACAGCATTTGAGGACTAGATTTGACCGAGCTTGGCTTTGGAGAGTGAAAAACAAAAGTAAGGCAAGGATGATATAATTACTTAGGTGATGGATGGGTGATGAAATTATTCTCCAGTGTTTCATAACAAATAGGAAAAATATTGATGACCAGAGAAGCCTTACATGAATTCAGGTTAGATTTCTGCCACCAACTAAATTCAAAAGGAAATATAGGATTTGTGAACTTTATATATATTTTTAAAAAGTTAAAATATACAAGAACAATACTGTAAAGGTTATATGGGAAAAAGAAGTACACTATTTTAGGATTCTTAAACCATAATCAAAGTGGCATAATAACATTTGAAGGTAGACTGATAATGTAGACTGCATTCTTATCCCTGTTCTAACCATTGCAATTACAGTTTTATAAACAGTGGTATCTCAAATGAAATAACAGAGAGTTGTCAAAACTACTCAGTCCAAAGAAGGCAAAAAAAGAAATGAAGGGAAACAAGAATAAATGAAACAAGTAGGAAGCAAGTAGCAGGGCAATACGTTCAAACATCATCACACTCACTCACATTAAATGTTAATGGTCTTAACTCTTCAATTAAAGAACTGATTTTTTAAGATACTTCATCTTAGTTCTAAAAATACTGGCTTTAGAAGATGGAATTTATATATAGACCAAAAATATTAAAAGATCAGATAAGATAGAATGGTTAAATTAATATCAGTTGGAATAATATTATGGATAAAGAAGCTCATTTTATAATGATGAAGGAATCATTTAGTCAAGAGAATAATACAATATACTGAATATTTGTGTACCTAATATCACAGTTTGAAAATATATAAAACAAAAAACTGTAAAGTGACATAAACACAGTTGTAATTAGTTTATATTCTTTTGTTATTTAATAGAACAGAAAATATACGAAGAAAATCAGTCAAGATATAGTAGGCAGGGGCTGGGAAGATGGCTCAGTGATAGAATGTTTGTTTCGCATACATAAGGACTTGGGTTCGATTCCTCAGCCCCACATAAACAGAAAAAAAAAGCCGGAAGTGGTGCTGTGTTTCAAGTGGTAGTGCACTATCCTTCAGCTAAAGAGCTGAGGGACAGTGCCCAGGCCCAGAGTTCAGGCCCCACAACCGACAAAAAAAAAAAAAAAAGATATAGTAGGCATAAATAACACTAAAAGTCAACTTTACCTGATTAACATTTACAGCATGGAGCCAGTTACAGAAGACATTCTTTTTAAGTACCCATGGAACATTTACCAAGTTACATCACCATTTAGTGTGTAAATAAGCCTCAATAGATTTTAGATGGACTCAAGTCTTACTAAATATATATTCAAGCTGCAATGAAGTTCAATTCAAAATAATTATGAGACTATTTCAAAATCCCCAACTATATAGAAGCTTCTTGAAAACTTACGAATCAAAGAAAGAATCAAAAGATAAATTGTATCAAATGACAACACAGTTTATCACAATTTGTTATAAACTTCTTCAAGCAGAACTTGTGTGGATAGAGCTATAGCAGTGAATGCCTAAAGACACTGAAAAAGAAGAATGGGTTAAATCGAAGTAAGCAGAAGGAACCAGATCTGCTTAGAAATTAATGAAATAAAATGAACAACAAAGAAGATAAGTGGAGCCAAAAGCTTATTCACTTTGCAAAAGTAAATAAGATTGATAAAACTCTAGCCACACTGATCAGGAAAAATCAAAGGAAGACACAAAATGCCAATATGGGGAAGGAGAAGAATGACATCAGAAGATCTACAACTTCTAAGTGGTTAATAAGAGAGTATTATGACCAACTTCTGCCAATAAATTTGACAACTTTGATGAAATGAATAATTTTCAAAAGAAAATATTTTCAGTCTTATTTGATAAGAAATAGAGAAGCTTGATAGATAAATATTTATTAAAGAAATTGAAATTATAGTTAAGGAAACACTTGAAGGTCTGGTTGGCTTTACTGGCTAATCCTACTAAACATTTTAAGGAAAAACACAATATCAATTCTCCATGATATCTTCCAGAGAAATAAAGAAGAGGGAAATCTTTTCCTCTGCTTTATAAAATCAGCACTAATCTGATATTAAAACAAGGCAAAGAGATTACAAGAAAACCATATATCAGTAGCCAATATCTTTCATGGGAACCATGCAAAAATTATAAACAAAAATCTAGCAGCCCACATATATCAAACAACCATAGTAGCACAATATTCCATAAAGTGGTGAATTCATTTATATCTATCTAAGGAACACAGAATTGGTTTCCTTAAAAAAAAAAAATTCTCTGGGGCTGGGGCTGTAGCCCTGTGGTAGATCATTCACCTAATATGTGCAAGATGCTCTGCCACCATCCACTAAAAGAATAAAAAGGTCAATTCACAATACCAATAAACTAGAAAATTATATGATCATCTCAAGAGGTCACTGAAAAATCCAACAGTAATTTCTGAAATTCATCACACAGTATAAAAGAATTCCTGCAATGATGAAATCCTATCTATGAAAACGTTTTCACTGTTGTCATAGTAGTGAAAAGATGCTTAGATCAGGAACAAGACATGGATGACTCTTCTTCCTCCTTCCATGCAACTATATAATAGAGATTCTAGCAAATGCAGGAGATAGAAAAAAATAAATAAATTGAAGTAACACCATCCATTTTGGAATACAGTAATTAATATTATCACTATTTGCTGGCAACATGATCATCAGCATAAAAAATTTAATGGAAACTTAAGACTGATAAAACTCTACCCATGCTGATCAGGAAAACTGGAGATAATTAATGTGAATTAGATCTGATGCTTTTAGAGATCTGAAAGGTGACTTAGGATGTCGTTCTTGCCATTGATTTGGAGAATGTTGCCCTTAAAATGGAAGAAGATAGGACGCATTTCACATTCTTTAGACAAAGTTTGAGTTTGTTCATCTAGATGAACAAATTATCTGAAAATCTGAAGATGGAAATGACTGATGTTCATATGTAAATGATGATACTTCAGGGTGGAAAGTTATCAAAAAGTGGATGTAATCAATTGATGGGAAAGTAGTTTAAGAAAGTAAAGCTTGTGCTGGGAGGTAAGAGGAGGAAAAGTTCGAATAAAAAGAGAGAGAGAAAGTACAAGATCAGGGAGAGGATGTTTTGTATTCAGATTTGAACTCTGGGCTTTCTGCTGGCCAAGCTGGTATGATACCGCTGAGCCACATCTCCAGCCATTTTCCATTGGTTATTTTCAGGATACAAGATAGCTTCCCACTCTAGAGTGTGCTTGAGCCTCAGTCTGCCTACTATTAGACTTTTCCATTGTTGCTAGGATTAGAGTCATAGAACAAGTCATAAAAGTAAGATATAGGAGGCTGGGAAGGTGGCTCAGTGGTAGAGCACTTGCCTTGCATGCCTGAGGCCCTGGGTTCGATTCCTCAGCACCACATAAGCAAAAAGAAAAAAGCCGGAAGTGGCGCTGTGGCTCAAGTGGTAGAGCGTTAGCCTTGAGCTGAAGAGCTGAGGGACAGCACCCAGGTCCAGAGTTCAGGCCCCACGATCGGACCCAAAAAAAAAAGAGTAAGATATAGGAAGTGGCTATATAAAAATTTGGAATCAATGGAAAGATAAAATAAAAAATATAAATGTAAACAGAAAATACTGTTGGGACTGTTTGAGTCAAGTATTACAGACAAGAATTTATGGCTATCATATTTTGAAAATTCGGTCACTTTACACCTAGATTCAATTTTGTTGAATTTGCAAAGAGATTTTTCATAAACAGAATAATGGTCAGGAGATAATGGAAAAACATTTTGTCTTTACCAGAAATTCATCTTTATAGGAAAAAATATATTCATTTTGTACTTAAGTATACTATCTTTAGGTAAGGCCCAATACAGGTAAGATTATAGTGGAGAATACATGTAGCAGGGGTGCACAGTAATTGTTACTGTCCCTTTTCTGGGAAGCAATTCCTCATAGAGATCAAATACACAAACCTAGCAATGGTACCATTGGCAGTTTATCACCAGCATGCAACTTAAAAGAAGTTATATGCATGAGGCAATAATTCATTGCAACATTTTGTATAATAAGTAAAATTTAAAGCAACATAAATGTCCTACAGCAAGGAAGTTTGTTAAATAAATTATGCAACCTCAATTGAAGTGATTATAGATTGTAAAATGTATACCGTGTTATGTTGAAGAAAATGAAATTTGCAATCATTTACAAAAATCAGGTCATGGAAATCTCTTATTTGTATAAAAACTTGAACAGAACACGTATAAATAAAAATATACTTTGTTGATGTGGTTAAATTATGGTAAGATTTTCTTCTTTTCAATTATCTCCCTATTTT